GTCCGTTCCTGGATCACAAGGTGGTTGACTTCGCATTTGGTCTTCCTTCGGAGTATAAGATCAACGGACAATTGAAAAAACGGATCGTACAGGACGCATTCCGCACCATGTTGCCGGAAGAATTGTACAATCGTCCGAAGCAGGGTTTTGAAATTCCCTTATTGGGCTGGTTCCGGAATGAACTCTGGAGCCTGATCAATGACGATCTCCTTTCTGAAAAATTTGTTATAGAACAAGGTATATTTGACCCAACAGCAACGGAGGCGCTGAAAAAGCAGCTGAAGAGCAATAATCCGGAAGATAGCCATGCCACTATATGGGCATTGATTGTCTTCCAATACTGGTGGAAAAAATATTTAGCTTAATTAATCAGATAATGTCGGCAGTCGATACACATACTACTCCGTTACCTGCTCAGAAGGTAGCGCAGGAAGAACCTATAACTACACCTGCAGCAAAGAAAGAAAGGGTCTTTTTCCCAAATCTGGACGGGCTTCGCTTCTTTTGCTTTCTGAGTGTATTTCTGTACCATTCATTTGCTACGGATTATAAATATATTATGGAAACCAGCCTCTATAAAAATGTAAAATATTTTATAGCCGGTAATGGCAACCTGGGCGTGAATTTTTTCTTTGTCTTAAGCGGTTTCCTGATCACCTATTTATTGATTGTTGAAAAGGAAAAGTTTAAGCAGATCAATATTGGTGGCTTTTATGTGCGGCGTATTCTAAGAATATGGCCCTTGTTTTATTTTTGTGTCTTCTTCGGTTTTGTAATATTCCCCATTCTTAAAACCATGTTCGGACAAGTGCCGAACGAAACGGCGCATTGGCCATACTATGTAACCTTCCTGAATAATTTCGACTTTCTTAAAAACGGTCTCCCGGATTCATCGGTACTTGGTATTCTCTGGTCGGTAGCTATTGAAGAGCAGTTTTACGTGATATGGCCTTTGGCAATGGCGTTCACACCGTCAAAGTATTACTGGCACCTGTTCATCAGCATTATCACCGTTTCGCTGATCTACCGTTATATGAATGTGCACGATGGTGGTATTCTCGAAAATCATACCTTATCCTGTATTTCGGACATGACAGTGGGCGGTCTTTCTGCAACAATGGTATACTATTTACCATCCTTTAAGAATAAGATGATTCATCTGAATAGAGCCGCCGTCATTTTGCTGTACCTTGCAGTAGCAGCCGTGTTCTTTTTCCGGAAAGAATTATTCTGGCAGAATGATATACTGCATGCTTTTGACCGCCTGATTATTGCCGCTTTGTTTGCGCTGGTGATATTGGAGCAGAATTATTCGGAGCGTTCTTTATTTAAGATGTCGCGGTATAAGCGATTATCCAAATTGGGAACTTATACTTACGGTTTGTATTGCCTGCACATGATTGGTATACTTATTGCATCCATATTGCTGAAGAAAACCGGGCTAAATAAAAATGTGTACCAGGTGATTTTCCTGGAAGGCGGCCTGAGTCTGTTGCTGACGATCGTGTTGGCCTATGTCAGCTATACTTATTACGAGTCGTGGTTTCTGAAGTTTAAAAATAAGTTTTCACGCATCACCAAAGATTAAGCAATGCCCAGAGTACTACGTATCCTTAACCGGCTCATTATAGGTGGGCCGGCGCTAAATGCTACTTACCTTACCAAGTACATGGC